TCTTTCCTGGATCTCCCTCTGGATGGGGCACTTTTTCTTCCAAAACCAGTACTGGAACCTGTGCTGTTCAGAAGAAAGGACACAACCAGGGATGTCCTCAACTTCCTGCTGAGCACCGAGGACAGAGACCCTCAGTCAGTCCTTCCTTGCTGCTGGCTTCAGTCTGAACTTCTACGCAAACCACCACTTGAGTGAGGCCTGAAGGACAAGAGTGCACTCCTAAAAGACAGATGAGGACACACCTGCCCAATTCCACCTCAGGAAATGCTCCTCAGAAGCATATTCCTTGTTCTAGTTCTTGAGGGAGCCCTTCAGACAGGGTTGGAAGGGCTAGGCGAGTGGGCAAGGGCCCCTTGACCTCAGCCCTGAGAGGCTACACCAGGGGAATGTCCTTTAGCCCCATCAGTGTGGCATGGCTGTGATGCGCATGCTCTGGGAAGCAATAGGATAAGTCACCATGGGAGTGGTGGTGTGGCTCATTGTGATTCCTGCTAAGGGCTGGGCCATCGATACAGCCACAGGAGCCACAGGAGCCACAGATACAGCTACAGGAGCCATGGAGACAGGTGGGGGAGCCATTCCTTGGGCAATTGTTTGAGCCAGAGCAGCTGAGAGTGGCGTGATCTCTGGGTTCAAGTGTGGGGGTGGGGGTGGTGGAGCAGCAGGAGGTGCAGCATTAGTTGGGGGAGCCGCTGGAGCTCCAGCAGGGGCTACCAGTTCTTGCTGGGACACAGGACGAGGCTGTAGAGCCTGGCTGCTGAGCGTAGTGTGAGTCTGGGCAATGCCATGGTTAAAAGTGGCGACAGTGCCCACAGTGGGGGCTAGAGTTTGCTCAGTGGCTGGTGCAGTAGAGCTCAGGGTCATGACCTTGGCTTGATTGCGGAACTGGGCGTTTTGTTCCAGAAGTACCTCATTGGTGGCCAGCAGGTTGTTGACCTGCTTCTTTAATTCCTCTACGCGCTTCCTGAGCATGGCATTCTCTTCTTCTAGTAGTCTACATTCTACCCCTCGGGGTGGAGCCAAGTTATATTCGTATGACTCAAAATGAGGGCCATCAGGAGGGCAGCATCCACCTCTCCGGCGCTTGGGGCCTGGTTCGTGGTCCTCAAAGCCCCTGTCAGAAAGGTCATAGATATCATAAAGATCGTGACGTCTTCCTGGGGGAACTGCGCCTGTGGCGCCCCCACCTCCAGTGCCGCCTCCACCTCGAGCATCAAACTCAAAATCCCGTTGCAGGTGACGGAACTTGCACTTGGCTCCTCTCTGACAATCACCCTTGAGGAAGTCACGGCAGATAGGGACCTCCTCCTTTCCATTTGGCAGGTCAGCTGGTGAAAGGCCCAGGCCAGCTGCTACTTTTTGCCTCAGCCGAGGGGGAAGCTCTCCTGTCTTCTTATAGCCATCCTCATCCTCCTTGGAGCCATGGATAAAACGGCAGTTTGGGCGGCTACACTCCTTGTTCTGGAAGTCATGGCAAAAGATGAATTCATTTTTGCTCACCCCTAAGTTGGACACCTCACTCATGTCTGGGTGACGATATCGACAACGTTTGCCTCGCTTGCACACATTCCTCAGGAAGTCTCTACAGATGGCATCCGAGCTGGTTCCTCCACTGCCTGCTCCTGCCACACCCGTCTCCTCACTGCCACTGCTTCCAGGGCCGCCACCGTTGCTTCCAGTGCCGTTGGCATAGCTGTCCCGGTCAGGCATCCTGGTCCCCGCTAAGTCAGGGCTTTCTTCCTTTTCTTGCCACTCTTGGTGACTGCTAAAAAAAAGGAGGGAAGGGGGAGGCAGGAAGAGGGGAAATGTATCAATCTGTCAAACCAGACTCCACCAGAGATTCCCCCCTCTCTTCCTGTGTGTAGAGCAGGCAGTCCAGTGGGGCAATGGCTTTGGAGGTGGCAAATCTGAGAGACAGGAATTCTGACGGACTTGGCCAGAAGTCCTGCCCAAGCCCTTATGCACCTGGTCTTGGTCAGAGTGATTCACACTTGCCTGGCTAAGGGAGGGAGTTGGGGTGAAGCCCCAGGAGGGGGCAGGGAGTGTTGGATTTTATCTTCCCTTCTAAGATGACCTTATTAAAATCATGGGAGTGAAATTAAAACTGTTGTTGGTTTCTGAATAGGCTAGCAGGAGACTGGAATAGTGCCCTAAGGACTGGCTGCTTCACTGTTACAGCTTACGGACAGTAGGGTACCAGTAAAATATTTCCTTAACTACTCTTCCATGGGATTATAGGTGAGAGTTCTGTATCTACCAGATCTCTAGAACCCAAGAAATCCTTGACGAAGAGCCTACTGTTACCAGTTTGAGGGCTGTTGCTATTCTGTCATTATTGTTTTCTCTTACTACCATGCTCAACCATGGAAAGTTGGCCCCCTCCACTTCAGGGGAGATATTCTAAACTAGAATTTCCATTTCCAGCCACCACTACGCACCCCGGGGTAAAACCATTTGTGGCAAGGTCAAGATGTGAAGAAGTAAATTTGATAGGAACAATCGACTTTTGCCCAGTCCCCACTCCCCTAACCCTTCCATGAGAAGATCCACTGACATCAAACCACGCCATTCCTTACCCCATTAAGACACTAATTATTTATAGCCTCTATAAAAGCTTTTTAAATCTATTTCCCAAGAGAGCTCTGGAATGCCAGTCCACTGCCCTAGTTCTAGCACTCCCCTCCAGGCCCTCACTCCTAACAAACTGGGAGTCCTAGTTACCACGTGTCTTACCTCCTAAACCTTTCATAGTGTTCAGGCTCCCCCTGCTGTTCAAACGGATTTCGTATTGTTTCCCCTTAGGTATAACTGATCTCTCCTGATTCTGTTAGCTTTGACTTCCCCATCCAACCCTCCAGCCTTAAGATTACCCTAAAACAACAGACCAGATCAGAGCCAGAGTTACACAAAAATTTGTACAAAAGAAGAGGTCTTCATATCTCCTCCAAAAGTTAGTAGCCCAAGTCAGACGTGGGTGACTCACACCTGTAATTCTAACTACTCAGGAGGTTGAGATCTGATGATTGTGGTTTGAAGCCAACCCAGGCAGAAAAGTGCATGAGATTTTTATATCCAATAAACTATTCAGAAAAGGCTGGAAGTGGTGCTTTGGCTCAAGTGGTAGAGTGTTAGCCATGAGCATAACGAGGCTCAGGGACAGCGAGCAGGCCCAGTTCAAGCCTCAGGACTAGAAAAACAAACAAACAAAAAACAGTAAGTAGGGAAGAATAAAAGGAAGTGGTAAAAGAGAAGATCCCAACTGTGTGTGTGTGTGTGTGTGTGTGTGTGTGTGTGTGTGTATGTGTGTGTGTGGTAAAAGAGAAGATCCCAACTGTGTGTGTGTGCGCACGCCAGTTCTGGAGCTTGAACTCTGGGCCTGAGGCTAGCACTCAATCACTTGAGCCACAGCTCCACTTCCAGCTTTTCTTTTGGGTAGGTAATCCAAGATAAGAGTCTCCAGGACTTTCCTGCCTAGTCTGGCTTTGAACTTCAATCCTCAGCTCTCAGCCTCCTGAGTAGTTAGGCGTATAGGAATGAGCCACCTGGTTAAGATGTGAACTTCTACTAAAAGAGAAACCATCAGGTGAAGAATAAGTCGCCATCTACCCAAGCCTGACCCACACTACAAATCCCACCAGAACAGATAATTAGATATACTTCTCCCCACCCAACTCTCCCAGAATTAATACCTGAGGTAGCTCAGGTGAAGTCCCGGACTCCTGTGGGTCTCCACCTCCACATCACTGCTGGGTTCTGAACAAAAACAAATAAACAGAAACTTGGGTGGGAGAACAGAACTCTGAGGTAGTTGTCATAAATAGGAACGAAGTCGGACAACACGGCAACTTTTCCTGTCAAAGAGAGGAGTTGCCAAAAAAAAAAAAAAAAAAACAACCCCAAGAATAAGGGAATAAGGGATAGAAGTGACCTCAGACTGGGAAGATGAGTTGGAAAACCCATCTTCAATGAACAGTAGGTGGAGGAAGCTCTACCTCGAGATGAAGGAGGATGTGGGGGTCCAGAGGACAGGCTAGGGCCGGGGGTTAGAACGGCCGAAGGAAGAGCGGCAACTGACAGCACATGGGATGGCACATTAGACTGGGGGGTCGGTGATTGTGACGCTTCCCAACACCCAGAGTTTGCGAAAAGTCCTAAGAGTTTCCCTAAAGCAAGTCTTCTAGCTTCTTCTTCTGTTCTTGAGGACAGTGGCTCCGGCACTTGGCCATGAGACCAGTGAAAAGGACACTAAGGAAGTCGGTGCAGGGGGAGGGCGTCTAGGTGACATCAAGATGAAGGGATGGGAAGGGCCGTGACGTCACGAAGCTGGCGTTTGCTCGCGAAGCCGGGTCAGTCAGAAAAGGGACCCTGTCTTGGGTTGCGAGGAAAAAAAGCCAGATAGGTTCTTGGGGGGGCCTCGTGTGGGCCAGCGGAGCCCAGCCGCTGGGCCAGCCCCGACTCCTCCCCTCCGGGCGCGGCCTCCACCTAAGTCTCCCGCCTCCCTCACCTGCCGCCGCCGCCGTAGTTGCTGCTGCCGCCTGCCGGTCCTCAAGCTTCGACAAAGAGCCGCCCACTCCACCGCTCTTCCGCTTCCTGCGGAAGGGCGACGATCTAGCCGCCAGACCCGGAACCATACTCTATGGTATGCGAAGCGGCGCGACAAGCCGCAGGAAGTTCCCAACAACCCTTGCGCGTCACCATGGCAACACGACCCAGCAACCTTAAGGAGCCCCAGCGACGGAAAAACACCGAGCACGCCTTAGTAGTAGTGCGGTGCAAGCTCGAACTTTTACCGGAACCTTGGAACATACCCTCAGGCGCCCACATGGCTCCAAACCCCAGCACCCGCCGCCCACACCTAGCACCCAAGATATTGCCCGGGTTAACTTTTTGACACCATCCAGAGTGTTGACACCGCTTAACCAGCAACGAGCCACACAACCCGCTCCCCGCCCCCCCGAAGTCGTAATGAGGACGTAAAAGACAAGACGATTTGAAAGTTCAGCTGCAACAGCAAAAGAGATGGTTTATTGTACACGCGTCACACTCGGCCACAACTATGAACAGAACTAGTCCAGAATGTCACAGGTCCGGGGCACAGGACCATCAGGGGATGCTTGGTTATGAGCAAGGTGTGTCTTTCAGAAACGATCTTGGCGATGGAAGTTTCTAGATCCACTGGGAAATCACGGCGGCATGCAGTCCAACAAACTCAGCGTCCCAGCCTATGGCATTCCTTATTCCTCCTGCTCCTCTGGCCTCGACGGGTGCACAAGCTGGTTTACTTGGACCTCTGCCTCATCTTTCTTCTTTTGCGCTTCAGCCTGAAAAGTACACACGAGAAGACATGCTGTTTACAAACCAGTTTTTCCTTCCCTGTGCACTTAGGGGGTTAATCACTGATTCTGCCGAGGCAAAACTTTTTCTCACAGTTCCTTTTTTTTTTGTCCAAGGGTATCCTCCCAGGCGAGTTGTCTCAACATACCTGCGCATTCGCTTCTTCCTCCACTAACAACCCGATTATGAGGCAAAGGGAAAAGAAAAAAAAGAGATCCTTATTAACAAAATACAGACGTACACCATAGGTTTAAAAACTGAGCAAGCTCTTAGCTAGTATGAAGGAATGGACGTAGCATTAACAATGACCATAGGTTGACATAAGACCCCAAGTCCGTTTCTTACACCCGTTTGAACACCCTCCAGGGTCCAATGGGCACCTTTTTTTCCTTCCCCCCCCCCCAAAAGTATGCTGACCACCGCCCGAACATAGAATGCTGCGATTGAGAAGCACGGCCGTCTTTCCTTGTTGGGATCTCCCCCTTGCCAACTCCCAATCTCCCTGCTAGAAACCGCTCACCTTGGCTCTCATGGCGCAGTTGTTCCTGCCAAGGAAGAGAAAAAGGTTATAGTTAGTTTTCTCCGGAGATGGTAAATATAGAGGTCAGATGTTAATGGATTGCAGGCAGAACACAATACCACTCACCTAGGAAGATGGCGCTAAGGCCGAGAGAGAGCCAAGTTCCGCCTACGACTATTTATTGGCGTTCTTAGTGTCGTCACTTCCGCTACTCTCGGCCTCCCCCCCCCCCCTTTTCCCGCCCTCTAAGGGCGGGACTGTCCAATCAGAGTAAGAATCGTTTTCAGCCGCTATCAGAGGGCAAATGAGATCAAATTAATCCTGTAGGAAAGCGAAGTATTTCGAATTGGCTTTACCAGGACACTCAGCTTTCCAGTTTTGTTATGAATATATTATTTCAACGTGAGCACGCTTTTCCTGTCTAGGACGGAGAGGTGCTAAACCAGGAAAGAGCCAGGGCTTCCGATTTCTCTCATTGCTTCTTGGGAGTTGCAGTTTCTTGGCGAAGTCCTCCATTTTCTTATGGATTGATGTGAACTGTGGAATGGACTTTGCATTTTTATAAGCTAACTTGCTGTCGACAAAGCAGAAACAAGGTTAGCTAATTCTTCTTTAGAGAAAGTATGACATTTGGTCTTATAGGAACTTTTCCATTTTCATCGTATAGTTAGTTGAGAATCACTGGAAAACATCCTCAGATATGGCTTACAGGAAGCTTGAATTGAATGTGAATAAGGATGAATGTGGTTTTATTTGCCCAAATGAAAACGGAACAATGAAACTTGCTGAAATTGTTTTAAGAGGGCAGGGAGATAAGGGAGTGATAATAAGGACTCATTGCAGACAGGATACATTGTAGACGGCGTGGAAATGTCACAATGAAGCCACTCTATAACTAATGTATACTACTAACTAGGAATGTGGCTTGGTGATAAGAGTGCTTGGCCTAGCATGCATAAAGCCCTGGGTTTAATTCCTCAGTACCATATGAACAGAAAAAGCCTGAACTGGGGCTGGGAAGTTGGCTCAGTGGTAGAGCGCTTGCCTTGCATGCCTGAGACCTTGGGTTCGATTCCTTAGCACCACATAAGCAAAAAGAAAAAAAAGCCGGAAGTGGTGCTGTGGCTCAAGTGGTAGAGCACTAGCCTTGAGCTGAAGAGCTGAGGGACAGCGCTCAGGCCCAGAGTTCAGGCCCCACAACCGGACCCAAAAAAAAAAGCCTGAAGTGGCACTGTGGCTCAAGTGGTAGAGTGCTAGCCTTGAGCAAAAGAAGTTCAGGGACAGTGCCCAGGCCCCTGAGTTCACGCCCCAGGATTGGCAAAAAAGAAAGGAAAAAGTCTGGAGCGGTGTGACCTGTAATCTCCCAGCACAATGCAAGCTGACACAGGAGGATCCATGTACATCAGATTCAAAAATAAAGTTTTTTTTGTTTTTTTTTGGGGGGGGGGGGGGAAATCCGGTTGTGGAGCCTGAACTCTGGGCCTGGGCGCTGTCCCTCAGCTCTTCAGCTCAAGGCTAGCGCTCTACCACTGGAGCCACAGCACCACTTCCGGCTTTTTTCTTTTTGCTTATGTGGTACTGAGGAATCAAACCCAGGGTCTCATGCATGCAAGGCAAGCGCTCTACCACTGAGCCACCTTCCCAGCCCTCCTGAGATTTTCATTTATTCGCATTTCACTTCAATGAAAACTTTAAAACTTAGAGCATTTAAGTAATTCTAGGATTGTGACCATAGAGTATGACAAAAATTTAAACATTAAAAAAATTAAAAATCAAAACATCTCTAGCAAGATCATTTTACAAGCCCACCATGATTGCCAATTGCTGTTCTATAAGCTATGAGTTTTATTTTTTACCTATTAGTTTTAACTATCTTCTAAAGTTTTAGGTTTCCAGTAAAATTTGAGGTGTAATTTCCCATATATTTCCTACTCCACTGTGAAGCCTCAACAGCTGTCACAATAATGTACTGTAGTTGTCACAACCAACAGATTACATTGACATGCTATCTTCCACCCAAAGATCATGCATGGCTATACTGGAGTTCAAGCTTGGTGTACATTCTATAGTTTGGACAAATGTATTAAGGGATGAATATGGACAACACAGGATTTTTGACTGAATCTACTTTTAATGGTAAGCTGCAATTGTTCAGAATCCCTAGGTCAGCATTGCCTCATATACTTAAGTCTAATCAACAAATTAACCAAACGTCACATCTTGGTCTTAAAAATTAGCCTGTTTCTTGAAATAGGGCAAACACTTGCAGAGTTTTTACAGTATCCAACTCCATGTCCTAGTTCCAAACCAGTATCAATATACCAGTTTACCTACTATATTTTTTTAATGCTGGTAGTAGAGCTTGAACTCAGTGCTCTACCATTTGAACCATATCTCCACTCCTGGCTTTGAGATGTGATCCTCAGATCTCAGCATACTGAGCAGCTAGGATTCCAGCTATGAAGCACCAGTGCTCATCTCATTTATTGTTTATCTTCAGAGAATCCAGAATTTATGACACTCCTCCCCCAACCCAAGATAGCCCTTCTTTTAGGTAAAGTACAGCACTGTAGAATAACTCTCAACTGCTTATTACTTGCTGAATTGACATTCCCCATCTCCACCAGATAGATAACAGCCACAGACACAGGCAATTATGAGCAAATCCAAATTTATTTTAATGTCATCTTAAAAACCTCCTAAGTTAGTGGGAGCCCTAGTTCCCTGGGTCAGCCAGCATGCCAGAGGTATTCAATTTTGTCAGGTCTAAAAACCCCTAGCAACTCATCCAATCCTAAGTCCACAGCTTCAGAAGGCTAGGAGTTGACTCTTCAGTGTACTCCTCTGGTTTCTGGGTTTTCTTTCCAGGGAGAGAGGTCAAGATAGTTCAAACAGGGTATAAACCACAGTTGAACTTCCAGCTTAGGTTGTGTAAGAGGGAGCAAGGGAAGCCCCCACTGACTGGAGTAAAGGCTGAACTGGATTATTTCTTTACGCTTTGTGGAAATTAGGGGTGCGTGCACAGAGGGGACATCTTGCAGAACAAAAATGACTAAAAAAAAAAAACATTTGAACGGGGATCCACTTGATAGATGAGAATCTCTTCATAAAAGGGAGACTTCAGTTCCTAAGGAAGGCCCAAATGGATGCATCTGCCACAGGTAAAAATAATCTGAAGAACAGGTCCTCTTTAGTAATTTTGAGGGCAGACAAAATGCTCGGGCAAAGTGGGAAATAAGAGAGGGGGAAAAAAAGCCCCAAGTAGATGAGAAAATGCTGATATCAGAGTGGTATAAAAAAAAAAAAAATTTCAGCTGAAGTTTTAATGGTGGTGGCTAATTTAGCCTCCTCCCTGTTCTGCTGCAGGGCCACACACCTTGACCAAGCAGAGTAGTAGAAAAGGCTAGAAAGAGGGCTTGAAGACGATGGACTTTTGACTCCTGATTTTATTATTCCATTTCTTTTTTTCTATTTAAAGTAGTCTTCGGTATTGGGAAGCCTGGCTTCCCAAGAGCAGTCAGTTGGAGCTGGTTGTTGTTGGAAGGGCTGGGTGGGGGTACTGGGATGGGGACAGGGAGACCCTGCTCTGCTGGCGGTCCTGGTGGAGAAGACGAACTGCACTTCAGAGCCTGGGGTGTGGTGGGAAGGGGATGAGGCAGGAGCAGCAAGCTGGGGATATGGGACCCACCTCAGTCCCCAGCTTCATTGTCTTCTAATGTTTCCCCACTGGTGGCATTCTCTGCAGTCTTAGAGGCCTGTATTTGGAGAAAAGGAGACTTGTCAGAATACCTCAACTCTGTGGCCGAAGGGGGGACATTACATCCCACTACTGCCAAGGAAGACAGACTCAACAGCAATATACAGCTAATGCCCTTACAAAAGAGAATGATCATAACTACCTTCTTTTTCTTCTTTTTCTGGGTTTTCCGACTTGCGGAACTTTGGAGAAGGGCCTGCAAACAGAGAAAAGGCAACAACACACTAAGGAATGTGAAAGAAATTCCAAGTGTTGATCAACACTGCAGTTCTTTTCAAGCTGCTCACTCCCAGGACAGGTGCCACATGCTCACTACTTCCCAGTTCACACTGACCTTTAACTCTGCATCCTGAACCTCCAGCTCAGACTTGTAGAGGTCTGGCTCAAAGGGACCACTGGTTATCCGCATAGGACCATTGGGCATGAGTAGAACTGTGAATTTAAACTGGGCAACAAATTCACCTAGGGAAATTGAAGACGTATTTTGATAAAAGGTCCCTTTGCCCATACTTAGTTCTTTTCTGAAGTTACAAGGAGTAGGACACTGTAAAATCAGAAACTCTAAAGCCAAACCATGATCAGAACTCACCCTCCTTCTCATAGAGAACATTAAATGGTTGAAGCAGCTCATGCTTGGCACACTCTACCACACCCATTCGAGCTTTCTTCTCATCTTCAAATGCTCTGGGGAAGAGGAAGATAGAATTCAGAGGTATCCTTAACTACCTATAAAGACTTCTCATTTAGTTACTTTTGCTCTTTGACACAGGGTCTTGCCATGTAGCCCAGGCTGGCATCAAATTTTCAGTCAGCCTCCCAAATGTAGGAACTGCAGATGTAATCACTAGGCCCAACTCAGTTTGAGTCTAATCATTTTACTAATTTTCTAGCCTCTCTCACATGCTAGGAAAGTATTGTATCACTCAGGTACTCAGCTTGTGGGTCTGGGGTTTGAAGTTACTTTCTAGACAGGTGTTCTATCACCTGAACCACATCTATCCTGCTTACTCCTGTTTTAAAAATCATTCCTACCCTTAGACAGAAATGCTTAGGGTCGCTCTTTTAAATTACCTTCCATGAGAAAGGAGATCAGGAGGTGAGAAGAGAGCGCCTGCATTCATGCACAAGCTACAAGTCTGGGCAGGAAGGAAAGGAAGAGAGGGATGGGGGGGGGGGGGAGCATTCCAGGGTACATTGTCTGAGTCAGACTGGTTCCAAGTCCTGTTCTTGCTAAGCACAGTACCTTAAAGTAAATGGCATAGCATCGAAACGCCTTTCCACTTCACTGAAAAAGGCACGTGAAGTTTTCATTTTCAGGCCATATTGTTTAGAGGGGTCTCGTTTGTAAATGGTGGTTCTCTGTCCTGCATCCTTGGCCTACAAGAATTGTTAGGTTACATTTTGTCTGGCTTAACACCATCCCCACCAGTCATCATTCTTGCTGACTCTGTACTCTCCTCACCTTGCCCTCTCCTGAGCTGACAAGCACATCTACAGCATATACTTCATGTACCTCAAACTCAGCCTTTTCATGGTCTTTCCTGAAAGGGATAGAAAGCGAATCATTAGGAGTCACTAAAGGAGTTGGGAATAGAAGGTGGACATAATTAAGGAGTACAGAAATGGCTGGCAACTAGTCTAGTAAGTCAAAGAATGGGGGCTGGCACCTACTTTTGCTGGTCTGTGGGATTCTGGATAATGGTCTTTTCTCCATCAATCACATGCTGCTTCAACTGATGTGACAGCATACCTACAGACAGGAAAAGGCCGATGGTGCCAGCTATCCAGAGTCTAAAAAAGTTTCACCCACCCAAGTTATCTTGATGGTATAGGAACAGGGCATTAAGGTTTCTGACATAGAATGAGTGAGGGCTAGGGTGGATGCTTAAAGGAGCAAAAACTTTAATTCTGCAAAACCACTCATTCCTAGACCCTCATCCCTGTAATCGGAGATCTCACCTTCTATTGGCGTGCAATTAAATGAGTGGGCAACTTTATTCCAGGCTTCTGTCACTTGTGTATTCTAGAAGTATAAGATCAGATAAAAGGTGAAGATATATTGAGCTAATAAATTGTCTACCATGAGAATAAAAAAGCTTCAAAGAACCTATTCACTGGATTTTCATTCCATAGACTTACCTCTCCAAGTGAAAAATACCTTACACATCTATATCTTAACTTTTTTTTTTGGTTGGTTGTAGGGCTTGAACTCTGGGCCTGGGCGCTGTCCTTCAGCTCTTGGCTAAAGGGAAGCACTCTACCACTTGAGCTACAGTGTCACTTCCGATTTTCTGGTGGTTAATTGGAAATAAGAATCTCACGAACTTTCCTGCCTGGGCAGGCTTTGAACCACGATCCTCAGATCTCAGCCTCCTGAATAGCTAGGATTATAGGCGTGAGCCACCAGCACCTAGAACATTTTTGTATTCTTGTATTGTCTAATATGCAGCATTTGTTTCTTTATACCTAGCACTCTACTTAGTAAAAGGCAACAGCAACCACATTTTTTCTCTGTAAATTTTCACTAAACATAAAAACTTTTTCAAACCAATGCATAATTAGCCATGGCTACTATTTACTGAATATTTAAATATTTATGTACCAGGAACTATAATTAATACATTACATGGATCATCTCATTGTTACAACTGTGAGAATAAGGCACAATTTTATTTTTGCCATTTCACAAATGGAAAACAAGCTCAATGTAACTTTTAATCAGTAAGTAATACAGATGCTGTTGATTACGTAGCTATATATGAGCTATTATACAAAACAAAAATAAAAAATGCCCAAAACAGCAATGGTAACTCACTGTTCAAAGGGGTTTAGAATATATCTGATTTTAAAAATCATTACAAGAAAACAAAGACAGATGAAACTTGGGGCCAAAGACATCATACTCTTTTTTTTTGCAGGGGGGGGGGGGGGTCCGGTCATGGGCCTGAACTCTGGGCCTGGGCACTGTCCCTCAGCTCTTCAGCTCAAGGCAAGCACTCTACCACTTGAGCCACAGTGCCACTTACGGCTTTTTCTGCTTATGTGGTGCTGAGGAATCGAACCCAGGGCCTCATGCATGCAAGGCAAGCACTCTACCACTGAGCCACCTTCCCAGCCCCCTAAGACAGATATTTAAGCAGACTGTAGTTAAGGAATTGTGGAGATGAAGGAAAATTGAATAAAAGTGTGAGGAACAGGGGGAAAAAAGTGGTGAATAAGAGAGCACAAAGAAAGAGAAATTTTGACAATTAAATGAATCTCTGCTAATTTAAGCATTACAGAAAGAGGTCTCCACTAACAATTTAATATGTTCAGTCCCATTAGTTCATGAGAATTCCACCAGGTCTAGTCTTCTAAATACTGTCTTGCAACAACACAAAAAATTTGCCCTCACTTTGGCATGAATTTATTGTCCTATGTATTTCTGATACTCGTTTGAATACAGGGTCTTGCACTTCCTAGGAAAGCATCCACCACTGAACCATGCTCCCAACCTTTTTTGTAGCAGAGTGCCAGCCTTGAGCACAAAAGCTTAGGGACAACACACAGGCCCTGAGTTCAAGCCTGAGGAGCAGACAAAAACATCAGAAAAAAAAAAACCATACACACACAGATAGGAATGATCTACATAGGCTCTATATGGAAGGGACCACATATCCCATCCTTTGCTTAGAACTATCTATGGTAGATCCACATAATTAATTGCTACTTAATATCAAATTAGTTTCTGCCCATTCTCCTTTATCTTTAAGATACTTGTTTTTAAGAGGACCAAGACAATAATTCCATACAGAGCAGTCATTCCTGCCTAGTGCATCTTTAGAACAAACATCTTACCTGGTTTCCAGGCTTGACCAGGCGTAGGGCAGCTTCCGCACAAAGGTGAGCTGCCTTAATGACATCTGCTTTCCGCCCTGTTACTTGGGTCCCCTGTAGATAAGGAAATGTAATCAGTATCTTCCTGAATACCTTACTAATTCACCTGGCCATTTTTGGCTAATATCTGTGTGGAATGGAATTGACTGGAAGACCACCAATGAACATGAAAAGCCTTGCTGTTTTTTAGAGACTCAATTTGTGTGGTGCCACACAGGATGAGGATAAAAGGTAGTAGTTCCCCTCATCAAGGCCAAACAGTTCAAAAGCAGATCACCTACCTGAGCCACACCAACCACAAAAGTATGAGCCACGTTAGCAATGAAGCCATCCACATGGACCCCAAGGTCACTGAAAGGAAAAAGCAGAATACTCCATTAGGAACTGACACTAAGTAAGTGCTTAGGAAAAAGACAAATGCTCTAGAATGGCTTAACCTTACATTTTTACCAAGTCACCTTCCTTGAGAATATAGTCCTGGTCACTCTTCAAAGGGGAGAAGTGACATACACAGTTATTTACCGAAATGCTGGTAGGAAAGGCAATACCTGTAAAAAGAATCATCAGCCTTACTGCCTTGCTGTCCGTCAGGAACCCGGTTGCCCTTTAGAAAAAGTGGAAGGGGGCCTGGGAAGGTGGCTCAGTGGTAGAGTGCCTTGCATGCATGAGGCCCTGGGTTCCATTCCTTAGCAATACATAAGCAGAAAAAGCTGGAAGTGGAGCTATGGCTCAAGTGGTAGAGTGCTAGCCTTGAGATGAGGGGCTGAGGGACAGTGCCCAGGCCCAGAGTTCAGATCCCATGACCAAAAAAAAAAAAAAAAGGTGGAAGAGTTTTTGTGCCTTTTTTTGGCCAGTCCTGGAGCTTGAACTCAAGGTCTGGGCACTGTCCCTGAGATTCTTTTGCTCAAGGCTAACACTCTACCACTTGAGCCACAGTGGCACTTCGGGCTTTTTCTGTTTATGTGGTACTGAGGGCTTCATGCATGCTCGGCCAGCACTCTACCACTAAGCCACTTTCTCAGCCCTTGTGCTTGTTTTTTCAGGGACTTAAGCACAGTCTGAAATGGGCAGGAAACTATATCCTACTTGCCACTTCAAATATCTCAACCAGAGCTGGGATGGGGGGGTACATCATTACAAAAAAAGGGGGGGAGGGGATAAACAGAGGACTAAATGAGGGCCAAACCTGGGATATTAACAAGGATTTTTATTTCTTTTTACCTTTTTTCATTTCCTTTTCTTTCTTGAAGATTTTCCCTGTCTCTTCCATAATCATGGCATCACCTTTCTCACAAAGGCTCAGTACTGACACACCTGAGCTGGAGGCTTCCACCAAAGACCGAAGTACTCCTGGGGACAGAATCCCAACAGATCAGCCTGGTTTGTATTTATATTTATTGTCTAGTTATCACCCAATGGATACCTGGAAGTTGGATTTGATTTTAATACTCCCTAGTGCCTTTGTCCTAGGGCTGAAAAAAAAATGAGAGAAGTTTTGCCTCTTGGAATGCATCTACCCATAATCTCTAATTTCTACCTTCCTTTCCTAAAATAAAGGCCAACACTCCCTTCATATTTTGTGACAACTGGATATATACAATCTTTTCTCATTAGGTAAGGCCTCTGATTTCCAGAAGATGTTATTTTTGGTGTAATAAAGATAGAACTAATATGATTTCCAAGGCACCACACACACACACACACACACACACACACACACACACACACACACACACACACACACACACACACACACACACACACACACACACACACACACACACACACACACACACACACACACACACACACGATGTTTATGGGCGTTAGGGACAACAGAAAAGTAGAACTGCTGACTCCAAGCTGATGCATTGTTAAATGTTACCTTCTTCCCTTCTCAGACAGCCTAATTAGACATTAGTAATCTCAATTTACGTGGCCTTATTTCTCCATAAACAAGTATATAAGGCAAAAGGACTTAACCTAAGGTCCCTGGGACTCAGGATGACTTACAATTTTCAGTAGATCTCAGGAATATTTAATCTTATTTTCAAAACTGGCATCTCAGATCACAGTGCTTCAAACTATACATCACATGGAAAAGTGGGAACATTTTTTTTCCTTCTATCTGATTTAAGCCACTCAATACTAAACACAAATACTAAAAAGCATCAAAAAATACTATAAATGCCTACGTTTGAGTTTTAAAGATGTTCTGGTGATTCTTTGGAAGCCAGAAAAACTCGGGTTCAAAACCAGTGGCATTTCTGAGACCTTCTCCCAACTATCTTTACTGTCAAAACCACTTTAAAGCCCCAAAGACAAGCAGTTTATATCTGCTTACATAGATTTTTAAATGGTAAAGTGAATTAGAAGGAGAAAATAGAACATGAGACAGTTGCCTGGAACGGCAGGCAACTGCTGAGAAAGTCAGAGCACAGCTGGAATAAGGACGGCTTGTGACAATGCCAAAATCAGTCCCCCTTTTTTAGTACTAGGATGAGAGCTGGACCTGGAAACACGGTGAAGTCCTGAGATTAAATAGAAAGGCTAACAAGGCAGATGGCCTTCCTATGACTATCACTACTTCACTGGAGCGGTGATAGTCACGAATAACTTCCCTAAAATCCAGGTTATCTCCCAGAACTGTGTTAGACGCTTCATAAGTGTTGTCCAACAGGACCCTGAGTTAACCCAAGGGGAGAAGGGAGCCCCCACCAGGGTAAGAGTTGCAATAAAGGAAAGATTCTAGCAAAGCACGTGGTGGGGAAGCTGGTGTCAGGCACCATAGCAAAGGAAGAGGGAAGCCAGCCATCCGCACAGGGGCCTGGCAACACGTGCAGGCTCGGCTCCTGAAGGCCAAGGGCCTTGACAAAACCGAGGGGCGCCCCTGTCTTCCACAACTGGGCCCTTCCATTTTTGAGGTTGGTCTCGTCTCTGCCAGAATCAGAGGCAGCAGAGATCCAGACTAAAGGGCGAGGGTCAGAAGACGCACCTTGCCTCCTTACCAACGGCCTAGAGTCGGAGCCTACTGGGGACCCCTCTCTGCGCTCCTGCCGGGCGCTGCCCGCACCTCCATACACACTGCAGCCCAGGCCTGGCTGCTCAGTCCCCGCCGCGACAGTGCGTCTTCCCACCACGCCGCCCCGGCGGACCGGTGCTCGCCCCTCGGTGGCTCACTCCGCAGCACCCCGCCGCTCCAGCCCGACACCTTCTCCCTCTTAGCCTCGATTCCCGGACCCCTGAGGCCCCACTCACGGTTGGCGATGTCGCCCCCCATCTTATACTTGGTCACGACCAGGTCCTCGGCGATAGTTTGCTCCTGCTGCTCGTCCTCGCCCGACATCTTCCTACCACCACCACTGTAGCCTCAATTCCCCTGAGCCGTCGCCTCTGTCCCCCTTCCCAGCCGAAGACTGTGGCCAGAACCACCGCGATCCGCGAGGCGAGCGCAAGGGATAGCGCGAGCTAGCAAGGGAGCGGGCGGGCAGGCGGGCGGACGGAGAGAGCAAGAAGCTGCGAGCGCGCGGGCTGAGCGCAGGGCACCGTGGGACACCGAGTCCTGCCTTCCGCCAGCTCTCAGCCTCCTTCCGGTGCGTCGGAACTACAACTCCCAGCGTGCCCCTCGCGCCCCCCGGCCAGGCCCTAGGGCCTTGCCCTCCTAGGGCCTCGCACGCTGGAATCGCCGGGCACGCTGGGAAGGGTCAGGCTCCGGCGGGAAGGCGGAGCCGTTGGGAAGCATGGGGGGAAAAGCGTGGTCTCCCCGGGAAAAAACCACCTCGGGAGAGTGCCGAGCCCGTAACCGAGAGGGGCGGGCCGACGGAGGAGGGGCGGAGTTCCTCTGGGAAATGGGTTTAGAGGTGGCAGCTCGGTGTGGGCACCGTCGGTACCTTGGGTGTGGGTCCTGGGCGCGCCCTCCTGAGTCTCCAGGCGGGCTGGTGCAACCGGCTCGGCCGGTCCTGCCGTCCTTCAGTGCTGGCCCAACCGAGAGGAGCCGAGCGCCTGGGGAAGACTAGGTGCGGGTGCGCAGCCGTGCCTGGTGGCTCACGCCTGAATCCTGGCTACGCAGGAGCTCTTGGGGTCCAGATTGGGAGCCAGCCCGGGCAGGAACGTCCATGAGCCTCCCATCTCCAGTGACCAGAAAACTAGCAGTGGCGCCGTGGTTCAAGTGGTAGAGGGCTAGTGCTAGCCTGGAGCCACACAGCTCAGACCCTGAGTTCAAGCTGGGGGGGGGGGGGGGCGCCAGAGCAAGAAGTGATTCATTTACTATGGCTTCCGCTGGTAAAAGCCAGACTCCCACCCACGAAAAGGCCGATGGCACTGATGTTCCCACGCTAGGTTGTTTTGTGTGGTTCTGGGGCTTGAACTCAGAACTTGGGGGCTCTCTCCCTGAGGGTTTGTGCTCAAGGCTGGTGCTCGATACCCACTGGAGCCACGGCTCCAATTCTGGCTATTGGGGTGTGTAATTGGAGATCAGAGTCTCACTTTCCCTGCCCAGGTTGGCTTCAAACCGCACTCTTCAGATTTTAGCCTCCCGGGATTAAAGGTGTGAATCACCCATAGTCCAGCCCCTAACAATCGGTTTTGGATTTGGTCATTCACTTAAGTGCCTGAGTTCTGATGTTATTTCCAGGTTTCAGTATTCTACCTGTGAAAGAGAAAGCATCTATAGGATTTTTGCTTGCGAGCATGGGCCCATGTGTGTGGGGGCGGGGGGAGCCGGTGTGGCTTGAACTCAAGGCCTGGGCACTGCCCCTGAGCCTGCCCGTCTGCCTTTCTTTCTCTTCCTTCCTTCCTCTCTTTCTCTTTCTTTTTTTCCCTTCCTTCCTTCTTTTTTCTTTCTTTCTCTTTCTTCCTTCCTCTCTTTCTTTTTTTCTTTCTTCTCCTTCCTTCTCTCTTTTTTTTTTTGTCGGTCGTGGGGCTTGAACTCTGGGCCTGGGCGCTGTCCCTCAGCTCTTCAGCTCAAGGCGAGCACTCTACCACTTGAGCTACAGCGCCACTTCCGGTTTTCTGGTGGTTTATTGGAGATAGGAGTCTCATGGTCTCTCCTGCCCGGGCTGGCTTTGAACCACGATCCTCAGATCTCAGCCTCCTGAGTAGCTAGGATTACAGGCGTGAGCCACCAGCGCCCAGCTCTTTCTTTTCTTTCTTTCTTTCTGCTCAATACTAGTGGTCTACCCCTTGAGCCACACAGCTCCACTTCTGACTTTTTGGTAGTTTTTTTTTGTCATACGAGTCTCAGGGACTTTTCTGCCTGTGCCAGATTTGAACCACAATCCTCAGCTATCAGCCTCATGAGTAGCTGGGATCACAGGTATGGCCAACTGCTACCTTGCTGCTTTTTGTTGTTATTTCCACTTGTCCTATAATGATCATTAGTAAAACCTTGTGAGGATGGGATCCTTTTTTTTTCTGCGAGCCATTTGGATATTTATAATACAATTGAGGTAGTCATACATAAATCAATACAGGCAGACTGGCAAGGGGCAGCTGATGAGAGCAGAGGAGAAGCCTATGTATCTGACCTGTTATGTACCAAATGATTTTCTGGGCTTGTATAGCCTACAGGCCCAATGTTTTCCACCCCTGCAAGGATTGTGCCCTATGCTTGCTTTTAAGGAAGAGCTGGAAAGAGTTGGATTGAAGGTGGGGGTAGGGGTGAGGTTAGATAGGAAAAGACAGACAGAGAAAGGTAGCAATCTACTACAGAACAGAGAAGAGGAGTGGTCTCTTATTTTACTGTAGTTTTCCTTCCCTCCCCCCCCTTTTTGTGCTGGTACCAGGCCTTGTTCTACTACTTGAGCTACACTTCCACTTCCAGCTTTTTGCTGAAGGAGTTAAGAGTCTCAGGGACTTTTCCTCCCCAAGCTGGCTTTGAACCACAATTCTCAGATCTCAGCCTTCTGAGTAGCTAGGATTACTAGCTAGGCATGGGCCACAGGCACCTGGCTATTTTACTGTTTCCATTTGACAGAAAGCAAGCTGAAAAAAAAAACTTTGGCATATTTATTCAGACACGTATAAAAAAAAAAAAACATCAATGATACAATAGACATTTCCCTCAGTTCCCATACAAGAGATGGAGGTCTGAAGAGGATGAGCCTTCTTCCAGTTCCACCTGGAGGCTTCTCATTACTGGATGGAAATGGTGAGTCTTGAGGACCTTTGTGAATCAGCTTGGAAGGAGTGATCATTTACAGCACATTTGGCTATGGTTTACACAAATGTGTCCAGTTATTTTCCTTCTTGACCTCCCTCCCCCCATACTTCCTGTGATGAGAAGACTGAGTTGTAAAAGGAGGATGTGGCTGTTGGGGTTTGACTTGATTCAGTGCAAAGACAAGAAAACAATGCCCCTTATGAGGACTTTTTTCTTCTCAGTTTTCCCTGACACCTTACAGTAAGAGAACATGCACTAGAGTTGGAAAGATTTCGAAATCCTGGATCTGCTGCTTAGGTTTAATCAAGGCTCAGTCTCTCCTCAGTCTGAGGTTTCATTTTGCACAGCTGTAGACTGGAAGTATTAATTGAGAAATTCCAGAAATGACCTAAATTATTTACTTGTTTGTTTTTGCCAGTCCTAGAACTTGATCTCTGGGCCTGAGTGCCGTTCCAGAGCTTTTTGTGTTCAAGGCTAGCACTCTACCACTTGAGTCACAGCTCCACTTCTGGCTTTTTGTGGTTAGAGATAAGAGGCTTGTGGACTTTTCTGCCTGGACTGACTTTGAACCACAATCCTCAGCTCTCAGCCTCCTGAGTAGCTAGGATTACAAGGTATGAGCCACAGGCACCTGGGAAGTTTGGTTTTTTTGGGCCAGATTGGATTTGAACTCAGTGCCTTGCACCAGGCTCTGTATCACTGAGCCACACTTCCAGCCTACAATTATTTTAAATTTCATATCATTCTAAATAGCATGACGAAATTGCACATCATTCTGTTCTGTCCTGTCCTGTAGATGAATTTGTATCCATTCTGTATGAGCTACCTGTCCATCAGTAACTTCCTTGGTTATCAGATTGATTGTTCTGGTATGACATTGCTATTGTTCAAGTTCCAGCACCTTTTTTTTTTGCTTAAAACTGGCCCCAAAGTGCAAGAATAGAGATGTAATTCATACATGCCAAAGGAAAGGGCTTTGGCTAAGTGAAAAGGTGAAAATTCTTGACTTAAGGAAAAAGAAAAACTGCATGTCAAGATCTACAGTAAAAACAATTCTACCACGAAATTGTGAGAATGGTAAAAGAAATTAGTAGTTTTGTTGTTAAACTTCAAATGGCAATTATGGCCATACTGTATGATAAGTGCTTAGTTAAGATTGAGAAGCCCTTAATTATAGGTTTTAAAACTATCCAGTTTCAGGCACCCAATGGATATTTTGGGATACCTGGAGTGGGGGAAACTACTATATTTGTATAATAGGGTTCTCTGCCTTACAAAATTGTAAGGATTATAATAGATTGAGACAATGTGGGTAAAGTTTAGCACAATGCCTGGCTCATAGTAAATGTCCAATTAATAGTAATATCTACTCTTAACCTCTCTTCATTCCACAAAAGTTTATGCTTTCCCAATCTTTCTAGAGGATTAAGAATTATAAACCAAAATTCTGCTTTCCTCAGCTAGGTTTACCCTTCTCAGTCTGATCAGAAACAAAAGACAGGCATAGGAGTAATCCCAGCGAGGAAGAGTCTGAGAAAAAGTGACCTAGAAAGTAATCCTTCATATCTTCAGGGAGTCCTCCTGAGGAAGCTGAGGAATGGGATTGGGAAGGCACACACAACAGGAAAGTCTCTCGTTTCCTAGGGTTGGGAAAGAGAAGAAAGTGCATAGCTGGCTACATACCACAAGATTTTGGGTCAAGCTGTTGAAAAGCCTCCAAAGGTTGATTGGAATTGTCTAGGACTGGAGAAATGGGGCTGAGACCTGGGCGGTACAGGGAGGTGGGAGAAGAGGGGTACCCTCTAGAAGCACTAGCTGCCATCAAGTGTCCCTGAGTGTCTCTGGAAATAGGAGTTATGTTCTCTGGGCGTTTGCCTTAGGGAAAAGCCTGCTATGCCAGTAATCGGGGTTATCAAAGGCAGAGTCAGTGGCTTCTAAGCTACGTAGAGTTTTGAGGCGGGCATAACGGACATGGGGGGCACTGTGTTCAGGCCCCTGGAAAGCTCTCATCTCTTCGTACCCTTGTTCAGCCTCTTGGCAGGCCCCCATGGCTGCATAATCCCCACTGGGACCACCTCCACCACGTCTGCGGTTCATATATTCATAGTCTTCATCTGGAGTTGTGCCAGCAGTGGGCAGGATGGGCACAGGATGGAGTGGGCAGCTCTGTGTGCTTCCCAGAGAGGCGCTGAGGTCTGATCCTACATCCATGTACTCATAACCCAGTTCCTCAAGAGAGCCAGGTCTGGGGGGACGAGGTGGACTGCGCCTTCTCCTCCGATTCATGTATTCATACTCCTCGTCTTCTTCTTCTTCTTCAGTACCCAGGACAGAACTGAGACCCACTGAAGAAAGTGTGCCTTCCCGGGAGGAGGAAGTACCTAGGGTTGAGAAGAG